ATCAAACATTCATCATCAAAAATGTTGAATACTGGTATATTTTATTTTCTGTCTCACGCCCCACGTTATCGTTGATAGAAAATTTCTTGATAATTACCAGTAGAGGGTGTTTTTTGATAAAAATTTGGAACTAAAAAAATGAGTACCTTTACGGGCTCTGAAAAAATCCTTATAAAATATAAATTTCGACGCACCAAGTAAAAATTAAACTTCGCTCTTGCGGTTGTATCATGCACGTACCAGGTACATATTTTTATCCATCACTACCTCAATTTAAAAGTGAACTACTCACCAAGAGACACTGCATTAAAAATCGTTACGGGCTCTGAGGTTTTATTTTAGGAAGACTGGCTAATTCGCGCGCATGTAGCACTAGCCGATAGTGATGGAAAAAATTATACAAATTTCTGCACTATTCTCAATCTCTGTAGAATACAATACGTCTAAATTAGAGCACCCACTTAACGGTAATTGCGTGTATTTATGAAATTATTTTCCACGAATATATTGGCTTTGTTTGAATTTTAGGGCCATTATTTAAATGGTACACAGGCCATATGTAAATTTTCTCTTTAATCTCTTTAATAAATGAAAATAATTCATTTAAATAAAAAATAATTAAACAGTGATGATTTTGAGATAAGACACGAGCTCGTGACGCCAATGTAGTCACTTTTTTTTCATTTAAAATAAAACCAATAGCTTTTCGTGATTTAATTTATGTTTTAACTTTAGAAGAATACTTAAAAAACTTTTTAAAAAATCCTTACACATGGCTTTTTGATTGACTGAACCGTGAAAAATTCTGTTTTCTGCATAATGACCCATGTACACAAAACATATGTTTCGTAATTTTACGCACTAATAAAATAGTATTCAAAAACCTTGAAACAACGAGTATGATAGATTATTAAAGGCGGCTCGTGCACCATTTATTATTAAGGGCCAACTTTGCCCATGACATCGCAAGACAGCTTCTAAACACATTTCAAAAGTTTTTAATCTACACCCCAAAAAAAGTCTGATCGTTGTGATTGACCAACAAAGCTCTACCAAAATACGATAATTCCTCGAATTGGCATTTTTTTTCAACTGTTATACAGTAAAATCGACTTGCATTCGATGAAAATCTTCCGAATTGACATTTATTCGATTTACTTTTATCAAGTCCATGAAAACGTGGTGTCACGTTTGACAGGTGTCGGGTAGAAAAAACGCACAAAGCTAAAATGGAGTTTGAAATATCCGTACACGCTACAGGTCGATTGATCATCATTTTTTTTTTTTTTTTTTTAATCTTTATTTATCATTGGTATAACCTACAAGCAAAATATTATTTGTATTTATAAATACGTTCTTTTATAACAACGACAGAACGCTGGAGATCCGCCAATTTATAAGGTAGAGTGAGTGTGAGAGAGAGAGAGAGAAGGAGAGAGAGGGGGGGTTGAAGTCGCGCGAAATATTTACATAGTTAAAGTTTCTCCCTCTCTCACTTTTTTATTGTTGTAATTTTTATTGTTTTTATTTTCATATGCAAGGATCAAAGGGAGATACATGTCAAGTACCAGCACCTTTTCTTGATTCATGCATGAGTATACGCTTGTATATATTCATGCGTCGCGCATCGGCGAAAAACTTCTCGTCGACTTCCGTCAGCGATTTTTCAAGTCGTAACGCGACAGTCATAGTGATAATCAAAGAGTAATTATATTGATTACGCGGTAGCTGTTCAACGGCCGCTAGGACATCTTCTTGGGTGTCGCTTTCATAGTTGGTACCACTTTTTGTCCTTGTACTTTTGCATGAGTTGGTGAGCCGAAGAGGCGAAATTCTCCGACTCGTTCATCATGCGGCCCGTGCGCTCCTCCAGCTGTGACAGCTTATCACCACGTTCCATTACCATTTGATGGGCCATTGCAACCTGTGGGCATTTTTTTTCTCTTTATTTGTTGGCTGTGGATGTTGATTTTTTGTTTACCAAACTGTGGTTATAAGATATAATGATCTCTAAAATTTATGAAAAATGAATTTTTTGAATAATTTAATGATACGAACAATACGTAAAACGTACAAAAAGTTTAATTGATAAATACAACAAGGAGAGTATTTTGATCATAACATACAGTACACCTGTATAAAATCATTAATACATGTTTTATTTCTGCAACTTCTACATCTTGAAATAAAAAATGTTTGGCACAAAGCTTTTCCAAAAACTTTTATTTTTTTGTATTGCTTCTCAATAAAAAATTTTAATGCTGTATTTTTAATTTTTTACCATTATTTAATTTTACTATGTACCATTTGTACTTAATTAGTATAAAATAAAATAGTATTAGTTACAAAAACAAATAAGATTAATTTTTTTTGACCATGTAAAAAACTTATATTTATACTGTAATTGTTATATCTTTTTACACAACAATCAATAACCAATATGTTTTTCGAATTATTCGTGTAACTCTTACGTTCTGTAACAGAGGAAAAAAAAATAATCAAACATAAATGACTTCAACGGAATGTTTTACAAAATATATGCGTTAATTTGTGTAAATATTCTCGCAGTTTAACTTCATACTTCCAGAAATATTAAAAGTAAATAACGTCGTTATGAAATTTTACGATTTCGATTGAGCTGTAATATCTATACTCTCAAATCTTTTGAATACAATCGTCATCTTTCTTTGTTTCGATCTAATCNTTAAAAGAAATGAAAAACACAAAAAGGTCACAAACAAAAATAATAGAAGTAATAAAAAAAAATTAAATGTATCTCGAAATTTAGGGATGAGAAGTCACATAAGAAAATAAGAAAAATATGGTAAAGTTATTGAATTACGTATAAAATAAAAGAAAAAAATAAGTATAACTACATCGTTGTTAAAGAGAAACAGGAGCGTAGGTTTATGTGTGCATGAACTTTGTCAGATAAATAAAATGTAAAGTATGCAAAAACTCACGTCGCCAGTGGCGGACGATACTCGTTCCCTGAGTGCCTCGGTGCCAGCGTTGGGACCTGGTATGCGGTTGGCCAAAGTACGGGATGCTTTACCACTTGCCTCACCAACTGCAAAAGGCGACGTACAAAGTGTTATTGTCTTTTCTTGCATCTTTCTCAAACCACCTTTATAAAATATTTATGTTTTTATCTTTTTCTTCTTTCCTAGTACTAACATCGATTGACGACTCTTTTGAAAGCGATATTTTTTTTTTCTTTGCTGACAGTTCGCGTGACATCCGCTGTACGGAATAAACTTACGACTTTCATGCGGGAATTCTCAACTCATTTCATTGTGGTGAACTTTGCTCGCTACAATCGACTTTTCTTTGCTGTGGGCATGTATAGGGATTGTGAGGAGACGATTTGCTTGTGGAGTTATCGCGTGTGACTCTGTATAGCACGAGTCTGGCCGGCGGCGATGTCCGATGTTTCATGTTTTATTAATCTCCTTTTTCGTACTTTGCGTTTAACGAGAGTAATATATTCCAGTTTAATCGTATTCTCAGTGCAGTTTATGCTTATTTTTTGTCTTATACATACACACGAAATCAATTTTTTTTTTAAATTCTTTAATTTTCATACTAAGATCTTTGGCATCAATTAGTTTTTTTTTTCTCTAAAGGTAATCAAAAAATTCCTTGACATCTCCAATAATCTTATTTTTGTTGTTAAAAAAGATTTCCTAATATATTTTTGTTCTAGTGAAACAATTTGATTGAAATTATTTATCAAGTAGGAGAGATGTCAATAAAATTAAATACTGCAAAGATTTTTCCATATTTAATATTAAACCAATTTAAAGACATTTCTTGATTATAAAATCCATGATTCTGATTCAAAACCTATAATTGAGACAAATAAATGTTATAAAATGTGGTGGAGTCAGATTTAGTTACTTTAAATCTAAAAATAATACGATGATTGTAACCTACTGAAAGAATAAAAGGGGATACAGGAAAAAAACCAAGTGAGTTAATTATGGGTTCATCATACACATATATGTAAGTAAAAAGTAAGATTATGTAATTACAGAGTTCCTCGCGATCGACACTCCGGGCTCCACCTCCAAACAATCCCTTGAAGAAGCTTTCCTTTGGCGGCTCTGGCATATCCCGAATGATAAATATGTCACCGATCATTTCGACCATTTCCAGGCTGTAAGAAGAGAACAGTTGAAGAGAACACTAATTTACGGATTGTAAATGGACACAAAGTTATTTCACTTTCTGGTGTACAATGGAATTCTAATTTAGTGTCTGTATATTGATCATTTATAAAAATTACCAAAATAACGTTAATATAATTGACAACTGCATTTGTTTTTAAAGATACAACTATCATAATCCATGTGTATTAGACGCTTGTTAGACCACGAATTTTATTTGTTGATATGGAAAACTTTTATTAAAGTAAAAACAAAAACAATATTATGAACATTATGAAGTACCATAAAAAGTGTGGTTTAAAATTGATTTACCCAGCCTGTTATACTAAAAACTTTAAATTGATGGAAAGCTTAGAACTCAATTATAAATGTGTTTAATCTATTTTACGTAAGTACAGTGAAAACTCCACCATATGATCGCTGTGACACATATTCTGACTGATTCCTAAGGTCCCACAAAAAGCCCCTTAAAACTAGATAAGCATCGGAAGGAGATTTAGGTAAAAAAAAGAAAAATAATACAACTTACCAAAACTCACTGGAAACCGTAAACTTTTGAATTTCCGTCGGTGATGCTAAGTAGAGTCCATGACCTTTGTTGGTAAAGCACAGAGTCCTCGAGATTCTGCAGTGATACAAGATAATCAGCAAATCGTGAAAGCCTGGGATGACTACGTCAGGAGAGTGAGATAATATTTTGGAGAAGAAAGAGGAGGAGGAGGAAAAAGGAACTAATATACGTACTCTACATACATAATTCGTGTCTTACGGCTACTTTGGCTTTGATACGCTTGTACGTCAGTACATGAGTGAGCACATAGTATATATTACTTGAAGTGCATAGAGCAAAAACTCCATCAACTACTACTGCTACACAAAAAGTTAGAAAAAGGAAGAAAATAAGAAGAAGAAGAAGGAAAGAAAATACATATTACTTATCCATAGAAGAAAAACAAAATCAAAGAAGAGTGACAGAAGTATTAAAAGTTAATAGCTACTTGTGCTACACACAGCATACGCTATTTAATAAGATGACATTCGGAAGTAAGAAAATGAAATTTTTACTATAATTGAGACTACTGTAATAAGAGAAAAGAAAGGTAGAAAGAGATGTAAAAAAACAAACGAAAAATAAAATGAAAACTAATTTATATGAGGGGTGAATGTAAGCGAGGTGACATGGTTTACTCCAATGACATTATTAGACATATTAGCTTAGCTACAGTGGTAGGTTTGACTCGTTGAACAACAAAAGGTATAGATTACAGTAGTGTGTACATAATTCATATATATATATATATAGATGAATGTGATATGATGTAATTCTTCTTATAGGATTATTGTAATTAGTATTATTATTATTGGATGATAATGAAAGGTTTTTTAGTAAACGACTTACTGATCGGTTTCGCCATTAACAAAGAGTTGATGACCCCATATGGACAACATGGGATCTACTAAGCCGGGTTTAGTAGTCTGAAAACTATTAGAGATTACAGATACAGGATATGACAATGAATGGATAATCGGACAGCTCACACGTTTGGAATCATCAGCTATTTATCTCTAATTTATTTTTTTCCCCTCTTTATTATTGTTTGACTTTTGAGTTTTCTCTTTGCTTTGTCTTTTGCCTGCGAGGTGTTTTTGTTGTTGTTGATGTTGTTCTTGTTGTTGGCACTCGGACATCACCGCCGGCCCGAAAGAAATTTGGCAAATTGTTCTTGCTCAGTGAGTGAAAATAATTTTCAACAAGATTTAGAAAATTTTAATAGGACGGATACAATATTTTCCTTATTCATCCCATCCTTCGTTTACTGTTCTCGTGAGAAAGATATTTGGTGACGGTGGAATCGATGAAGTATGTTTTGTTTTACACTCTGATTATTTGGTGTGAGAAATAAGATCACTAATTGACCTATACTCTCAAAGTTTTTCAAAAAATGTTTTTCATAAATATTGATTTTCTACTAAATTCTTTGTTTCTCAAAAATAAATTTGCTTCCTTATCTAAAAACATTGAATTCAAGAAATAATAATAATTACGCGTAACAATATACAGTATAGAGAGTATTCCAAAGAGTATAATTCAGTGTATATTACATGTTATTGCAAAGCCTTGAAAAATCCCTTAAAAAGTACCATATTTTAAGGCATAAATGCTAAACTCAATCTATAATAAAATAACAATTGATTCAACAATTTTTTTTTTTCAATAATGTAAACTCAAGTCCGCATTAGATCTTTTTATTTTGAAATTTCTTTCCCGTACACTTAATTGCTTGAGAGTTATTATTTTGCAAAGTAATTGAGAGGTACACTAACACGTACTCATTTCAGTCACACCAAACAATAAACTAGTGTTCTTTTTTTTTCATGTAAAAACTTTTTTTAATTGTGAAACTAATGACACGTTTTTTAATTGGATTTATTCATGACTTTTGTTTTATAATGAGACAGTATTCAGTATGAAAGTCCATTAAGAATACAATCCCATGAAAGAAAAAAGTCTGTGCCAAAAGTATGTGCTATAGAAAACATCTACATCGATCATGCCTCGAGCCTTTCTCTATGAATATAATGAGTCCAGTAACAATATATATGTAACGTGTGTCATCGAAGGAAGAAATGTAATAGAGACAATTTCCAGAACATGCTGAAATAATTGTTTTATTTATTGGTAATCACGAATATTTTAGGGAATTATTCCGTATGATTCTATAAAACGATAATACACACGTTGAAGAAATCATATGAACGCTATGAAATTTTATTAAAAATTAAAAATGTATGTTGTGGAACAGAAAAAAAAATTTTTTTTTTATAATGTGCTAAGACTAAATAAAAAAACGGTTTTTCTAAACATGTTTCAGTCCAATAAGAAAAACAAGAAAAATCAAAACTAACATTCACCTGCGCAGACTCGGAATTTATTAAGAAGCATCATATATGTAAAATAGCTGCGTACATATAGAATGATAATCACTTATGATTGTAGTTAAAATTATAAAAAATACACATTTACGTATAATATGTATGTCATGAGAAATACGGCGAGATAAAAGCTTTTTTTTATGTTATGATCAAGTTAATAATATGTAATTAAAATTAATTTAGATCAGTTTAAAGCAAATTATGAACTGCGATAAGAATTGTGCGCCATCAGATATGCAAGGCACTTGTGCGTACGTCAGAATATAGTGGTCAGTAGATTATTTTAAACACTGAAATAGTAAACAATTGGCAGCCGTTTTTTCAAGTAAAAATCCATTGTTCTTACCTTAATTCAGAAACAGGTAAAAAATCAACGTCAATTAATGGCTTCAGGCTTGGCAAACTGTACGTATATATGTGACCATTCGAGACGTAGCAGACTAGGCATACACTATCTGCAAGCCAAAACAGGTAATGGTGCTTTTAGTTCTTTGCTTTTGTAACGACAATGTTAAATTAATACAAATTAATCATTTTGGTTCTCATTGTTAATTGCAATCAACATCACGCAGTAATTAAGTGTCGTACTGAACCACGCAAAACAAATGAAATGACTTTGCTAATTGCAAAATTATAAAACTGTAAACAAAATGACTACACATGTGTAAGCTTTAGCTCATGTTTTCATGAAATTTCAATCACCGTCAATTATTGTTGCAGACACGACTTTTTAGAAAAAATACAATCTTTTTTCTTATTTTCTTATACTTTGTAAAAGTTACTTCTTTGTTTTTCACTATTTTCATGATTTCGTTCATCAGTTGCTTACCTCAATATGACACTCAATCTCTACGTAGTGCTAATTGCGATAACAATGTGAATAGCTAAGCTTTGATTGCATACTAAAACGAAGACGCAACTATGGCAAAAAAAACTTGAAGAACGTTCAACTGACTGGAACTAAAATATTTCCAAAAAATTCAATGTAATTGATAGATGCTTAAGTTTTCCATTAACTCTGTTCGAAAATGACAAATTCTTACATTCGTTATAGTATACGAATATTTTCAAATCAGTGTCGTACATTTATTTTGCTGGCAAATACTTTTTAGAACTGCTCTTTTACATCTTCATTTAGTTTTTGGATTTTACAACCCTTGTGTCACGTGCAATCAGCAAATTTATGTGATATATAAGTCATTTTTGTGAAAGAATTATTTTATCGCAACCCAAAAAATAAATTCATTTTAGGAAGGAAAAATAAATGAATAGAGTTACCTTTCATAGATGTTATTTCGGCCTTAATGACGATTTGAGGCTCGACTGTTGTTAACTGCTGCTTATAGACGCAGTTCTGCGAGGGAAGAGCAACGACTCTGGCTTGCTTGTCAGATGTCAGCACGACAAATTGCCTGTCCTCGTGGCCATCCACTGTCGAACCTTGAGAATTGATCGAGGGGGACATCCGCGTACTCGAAAATTTCCCTTGGTTCTCTGCAATTCGAGCTTTTCTTTATTCACAATTGGGCTCAGCATAACCCGAGAGCTTTTTTATAATTTATTTTGTTTACGTGCTTTCCTAGTTAAGAGACAACCGAGGCTATCAAGTAAAATTATCTATTTACAAACTATTGTTTCACATTGATAAAAGATTTTGTATAACGTTTCAGCTTAATCATAAATGAAAAGTAAGTAAAAAGACGCACTGTGACGATCCTTGCCATCTCCACTCTCATCCTTCCAGGACTCGTAGGAATAAGGAATTAAAGCTCCGTTACAATCCAAAAAGGACATCGTTAAAATACATCCTTTCAACTTAAACGTAGTACCATCTGCACTCGCAATAAACATTGGTATTTTAACGCACAATTGGTATTTAATTCAACTAGTGGTATAATTGATTCGAGAAATAACTCACTACAACTAGAGATAATCACAGGCTGTGTGTGTCTGTCACCAGAGGCAGGCGTGTTAAACACAATAGTTTGTACGGAACCTGAAGCCGTGCCAATCCACAAAGTCGGTAAGGCATTGGAATCTGTACAAAAGATTTTGCGTAAGCTGTTAATCGGACATGCGAACTAAGATATCTTGAGTATAGGAAACACTTTGAATGGCATATTTCAATTGAGTATTTTTCATGTGAATGCAAAATTATGATCAAGAGAGAAAAAAAACTTGGTCACTCACCGCTCTTTTTCGTGTAGGAATCGGCGAAAGTAAGGCAGCTGATGGTTTCAGTGGCAATGTTTTCCAGCGAGGACATACTCGAACTACGAGATCGTTGGAATGAACTGTCGAGTTTGTCTGCACGGCCAGCATTTCGAAAAGAGCAAAACACAATCGATTAATTTTTTCAATGTTAAATCAGCTTCACCATATATTTCCGGGCTTGCTGAGAATCATTCTACTGAAGCATGCACCAAGATAGAATTCATAGATACAAACAGGAAGATGAGGCAAATTTTACAAGCTCACATTTAGCTAGAGCGGAAAAATGATACTTAATTTTTATTTCAGTATTATTACACTGATGCTAATTTTACTGTATAAGCCGTTGTTAAAAGACCACAAAATTTAAATGCTTCAATGGTTCGGAAATTTAACAATTATCTTGGATGCATTTATATACTCATTGGGTTGTAAAATAATCAATGGCCACCAGTGTTTGCGAGCGTGTAAGCAACACGGAAAGCAATCTCTATAACATCTCGATACCGGTTACCTTGAGTTAGGTGATTCTGCTGTACGTACACTTCTTCATTTGCTTAATTTTTTCGAATTTAGCTTGTTATACTTAGGACCGATTTTTTTTTATTAAAGGGGAGATGGCATTTTACCGCGTTAAAAAGTAAAAAAAAAAAAAGCTTTTTAATGTTACGACTTCTGCAAAATATTTTTCAAATAAATTTTTTGAAACAAAATGGCATTTGCACCACCTTCCTTTTGAATTTTCTGATGATAAGTATATAAGTAAGTAAATAAAGTAAACAAGTTTCTTCAAAGAAACGTCTAAAGTAGCAACAATAATAATCGATGTATATATATAGATAGAGAAAGTGATGTATAAAGGTTTACTTGAAGTACTGACAGTGCAGTAATAATACTAATAATACACAATTACAAATTCAGCAACAACAACAACAATAATAATAATAATAACGTAATACACATGTTTCAACATTATTCTTTTAATGTTTGTCACCCATTTAATTTTACAACACGTGATTCGTTCATTTGATATTAAAAAAAATAAATAAATAAAACTTATCAAACAGTACCTCTAACCGCAACGGATGCTCCAACAAACGCACATTAATTTAAACTGTTTTAACAAGTCTCTAGATCCCATACGGTTTTCACCCAATCTACGGACAATCTTTCTAACTGTCAATCAGGGAATGCAGTATACTGTATATACATGCTATATATACGTCCTATATGAATTTGCCACGATTAATCGTACCAGTGGCGAAAATCGTACCACGTTCGAATTATTGCTCAGGTTCACGAAACAGGCCGCGCCCACCATAATCGAGTTTTCAAAATCGATAGAGAGCGTCATAGCTTTTAATTGACCTTTACTTTCTTTATTTGCACATTTCATGGACGCTTCATTTCCGAAGATGCGAGTTTAAATTCGTCCTTACTTTGAGTAATTGCCAGCCATCGGATCCCGAAAGTTTATGTCGTTTAATCAAGATATTCAACGTACCACTCCACCAAAGTGGATACACCCAATATAATGTGGTAAACGCGTTTCAGCCACGGTAGCATTGATAACCGGAATAAGTGTGCGTTATAAACACTTGACTGCGTTGATTTGATGTTGGTGCTTTGCTACATTGGTCGTAATAAACATTCGCGAAGCGTTTTCATAGTGTACATGGTACCTACGATAAACGCACGCACACAAAAGGAAAAAAGAAAAAAAAAAATTTCGTCACTCAAGCTACAAAAATACGCATCGCAACGATAATGTGCTAAAATTTATCATTGACACAAATCAGCTAATCAAGTGCAGGTGCAGGTATCAGTATACGTATGTACAGAGCACGAAGCAAAGCTTTCGGCGTGATTGCTCACGCACGTCGGTAAGCCTTGCTATTTCTATGGGTGTAAAAAATCCCTGGATCATATATACTGTAAAACTCAAGCATTCTCTACTCCAACGTATATACACAATTATTATTTACTTTCGGATCATTGAATTTGTTACTACGTGCCTACAGTATAGCTTCTAAGGTATCCTGCCTTGCACGACTTAACTTCCCCTATGTTAAACCTCCCAATAAATAACAGGGTAGTAAAGGTTTAATGTTTTAATTTAGTTTAGCCACACTTATTGATACCATTGTCATAAAACATCATAGCTTTGTGCGGAACAACTTTAGAACTTTCATGAAAATTTACACAAAGTTACGTATGCACACGTTTGTCTCATTAACATGTACGATAACGATGGTAATGTTGAATGCCAGACACGCGTGTGCATACGTAGTAGCAGTGAACTCGTATAGACAAAAAAAAATAAACGTATGTCAAAAGCAATTCATCTGAGAGACAGTGTAAGCAGAGGTAAAAAGTTGCTAAAACAGACACAAACAATGAAACGTACCCCATTGATAGTGCGAAACTATTGTATACATACGAGAAAAAGAGAGAGAGAGAGAGATTTAGAGAATGGAGGGGGCCTCCCGAAACAGTACAGACAAACAGATGCAGAGAGCGCGGGAGGCTCGCCGAGAACAGAACAGAGTGCACTTTTGTTCCACTGGCCAGAATAGTTTAGAAAAGCTAGTTGATGCTCATCTCAGACAAATAAAAAAAAAAAAGAAAAAAAAAAAACAAGCAAACGAACATAGGATTCTTAACAATGTGATTCACGTGATTTAACTTTGCTTGTTCAATCAAAAATGATCGCACAGTTGGAATATCGAGTGGAACAGTAACATTGGTGATGTGTGCGTGTGAGAAACACACTGTATGTTTTATGTAACGTTATAGTACTAATACAGGTGAGAAGAAATGCGAAAGAGACCACGGTACAAGTCACAAGAGGCAGTAGATGGAATGGAAGAATAGAGAAGAAAAGAGAGTAATTTATGTGGCACAGAAAGAGATTAGAGGGAAGAGAGTGAGTGCGCGCGTGAGCCGGGAGATGTGGTATAGGCCATGAGTTGCTGCTGTTGTTGTCGTTGTTGTTGTTCATTATTCGCTTTATTTCCGTTGAACTTCCAACAATGACGTAAACCAGACAGTATTTTTTTTTTTATATTATTGTCATCACGTTTGTCGCTTCTTTTGTCATCTTCATTGATGAATGTGTCCACATTTCTTCTTATCTTACGCATTATATAAATGACTTTGTGTGACTCAACTTGAAATTCAGACACTGTTCAAGATTATTCCTCAAATTCTTGGTTTCTTATAAAATAGTTTATTAATTATAAGACATGACTATCCATTTAATAAGATCAAATTTAATCATGACGTACCTACTTAGTATAAAACCATAGTTTAGTTTTTTTCGTGAGTTGTCTTACTGTAATGATTTTGTAAAATTATGATCATGTTTAGTGATCTTTATTTTTTTACTCCATTATTTTTTACTATTGACCCGTCATAACTTTTTTTTTAATTTCTAAGGAACTTTAGATAGATCTAAATTAAATATAAATGAATTACAACAAAAATATATGCCAACTTACAAGAAAAAATTTCATGTAGAAAAAAAACACCTATTATTTAATTTCATATCCTGTTAATAAATAAATATTATCGTCATCTACAAAACCCGCTCAAGTATAAAAAGGATTTATTTTTTATCAAAAATTTTATGTGGATTTGTTAAAAAAGCTTCGAGCAGCTATAATCATTATAGTAATAATACTTGCCTTGTCATAAGGTCTTTGTAAAAAATTTCAACATAAAAAAATTTTTTTTCCATTGATTATATTTTTTGTCATAACAATATAATTTTTGATCCATCATTAAGGGAACTTCATAATAGTATTTTTATTATATCTTTTATGTATAAATAGTATTCTTTTATTACAAAATATTTACTTTTAACTTTTACTACTACAAGTATCACAAAAAATATTAGATCACCTTAAACTCGTTAGATTTTTTATTTATATTTCCTCAATAATAAAACCAGAAATGTAGAGTTATATGAATAGACAAATTGAGTCACTCACTACCAAATTACGATAAAAATTATTTGTATGTATATTTTATTTTATTAGTTATGTTGAATATCAAAGCACTTTATTTAATTGATAAAAAGAGAAATAGTGTTGTGATAAGGTGCTTGGTATGCAACAAAGTATTATTAGTAACTATATCGCTTGATGACATAATAGATATTATACTTGTGGTGTATATACATAATGTAATATAAAACTATCGTGATTTATAAAGAATCAATAATGAGCTGATTGTTTGAGAAACAACATGTTTTACATAAAAAAAAATCATTCTGAATTGGTACTGAAAAC